GCCCCTCTCTTCCTTGTAATAGTCCTCTGGCATTTGGAGGCAGCTCTCATGTTACAATACGGTGCAGTGTCCTTCCAAATGGTGGCTCCCAGAGCTTTCCATGCCAGATGTTGTCTGGCCAGGAGATTGGCACTGTTTGATGCTACCCACCCCCGTAATCCTGGACAGTGTCCATCTCTCTCTTCCTTTCCTTATCTGGTTCTCTTCTCTCTCTCTCTCTCTCTCTCTCTCTCTCTCTCTCTCTCTCTCTCTCTCTCTCTCTCTCTCTCTCTCCCTCCTTCCCTCCCTCCCTCTCCCTCTCCCTCTCTCTCTCTCTCTCCCTCTCTCTCTCTCTCTCCCTCTCTCTCTGTCTTCGTGTCTGTGTCTCTGTCTCTTTGTTCTCTCTCCTCTTTCTGTGTCTCTCTTCCTTACTCTCTCTCTCTTGTCTTCATCTTTTTGTTTTTCTCTTTGTGTCTTCCTGTCTCTACCTCTCTGTCTCTGTCTCTGTCTGTCTCTGGATTCATCCCAAAGGCCACCTCCTTTTCTAGGCTGCCATATCACACTTGGCTGCTATGGAATCTGCAGTCTACTGAAGTCCTCCAGCCTCTAGTGAACTGCAGCCCACATATCCTAGCCCCACCTTGTCTTGGGAATGTGGCTTTGTTCTCACCTACGTAGATTTGACTTGTGGCTAATATAATAGAAACACTTCTATCTCTATACATAATAATCTGAGGTTCAGTGGGCCAAAACATTTGCCTTCCCTCTCCCACACCAGCCTTAACTCCAAAAAGCTCCCCCCAACCCAAACCCTATCCCCATAAACTTAATACCTGCCCATATGCTAACCAATCTCAAAAGGAACTAGATTCAGAGGTCAGAGTAAGAGGCTGATGAGTCTCCAATGCCCTGTTTCCCTGCAGAGGCACCGGGGCCATGTCAGGTGTACCTCAGGGATAGAGGGGAGGTTTGGATCAATGCCCACCCTGCAAGAGGCCAGGGAAGGGCCCTTCTCCACAGGCTTTTGGCCAGTCTCCTCCCCACCATAGCCATAAAAACTGAAGCTGATGGTCCCAAAGGAGAGACCACAGTGACTGAGCTCCATGTCAGGAGGTTGAAGAAGGCATGGCTAAAGTGGAGAAGGAGAGTGTCTGCACCCCTGAGGGTATGCAGGAGAAACCTGGTAGCAGTAGCATAAGGGAAGGCCCTCTCCCCATGGCCCCTGGCTGCTCTCTGAGCGCTCTTCCCTTTCAGCACTATCTAACACATGACTCACGCTCTATCTAATAATACTGCCTTTCCACATACTAGAAACCTTCCAGTCCAGTCTAAATGAAGCCCCAGTGGGTACAAGGGGCTACCTAGCCATGGCTACACCCCATGATGACATTCTGTTTCTAAATGCCACTGTAGGTGATCTTGTGGTAAAACTTCCCCCAAATCCAGGTTGTTGGCCTTGTCAGAAACAAAGGCCCAGCTGGTTGTCTTATCGATATCCAAGTGGGCCTGGTGGGGCAAGAGGGCTCCACAGAGGTTTTGTCTCTCTCCCCAGAAGGCACAGTACCCAGAAGAGATTAAGCGGGGACAGGGAGGAGGAGGTGGGAGAGCTGCTTGCTGGTGGCTGAAGGAGGAAGGGGTGAAGGCAACAGGGTGGGCAGGGGCTAAATGGCATGCTTCCCATAGACCCTGAAGTGGTAAATACAGGTATACTGAGGGTTACCCCAGTTGCTGATGATTCGCAGCTCTATCAGCTTGTATGGGGCTGTGTTGTTGCCCTGTGGGAAGAAGAGAGTGGGGTGAGGAAGGCCTGAGATCCCTTGGTGGGTGCCCTGCCCGCACAGCCCTTGTGCCCCAAGCTTCCTTCAAAGAGAGTGGCTGAATTCAGCCCCAAGCTTATCCTTCAGTTTCCAATCAGACCCACGAGACCCTGGCTCCCACTGCAACACTGCAAAACCACAGCATCCCTGGCCAGTGATCCTGCCCTCCAGATCACCAGCCTTCCTGGGTTACTGGGGGACTGTAGTGGGACTGGCCCTCCATAAGTGAAAATAGAACGTCTGTATGGTCTCCCCAGCATTATCATAAGTGAAGTGCCCAAGGGCCACCCCCTCCACCTGAGAATTTTCACTGAGCTCCTGCACAGAAGGTAAAACAAGGGGAATGGAGGGATGGACAAATGGATGGCTGGGTGTGGGGTGCGGGAAAGGTAATGCTGGTAGGACAAGAATCCAAATGAGTCTCTGCAGGGACAGGAGGAGGCAGACAAAGCAGGAAATACTGGGGAGGGGGAAGAGGAGCAAACACAATCCACCTTGATATTGCCTTCCTTAATCCCCTCACCTGCTAGAATCTCTCTCACTACTTCAATGGACAGAGCCTTTGCCCTCCAAGGCCTTGGCCTTCTCAGCCTCTTCCCAAAGCTGCTGAATGTCTTGGCACAAACCCCTTCAGTGTGTGAGCCTCAATTTCTTCATCTGAATCTGGATTTGGATCCTAAAGTGGCTCCCTTCCCTCCATTTGACACCTTCTGCTCTGGCTCCCTCTTTTCTCTCAAAATCTCCTTAAGTGGATGTTCCAATTCTGCCCTGAGTGGTGACTATGTAGGGGATGGTGATCACTATCCCGGAACAGCTCCACCTTGACACACTTGGCCAGGGAGGCAACTTGCTGTCAAAAAGGACCCTAAGGTAGCATGGTAATCTTGGCTGTTCTGACTGCTGTCATTGTCCTTTCCTGGCTCTTCTTGACTAAGAGGGGGAGGAGCAGAAGGGCTGGGTCTGGAGTCAGGAGACCAGCCTCAATGTCACACGTGTAAAATTGGCATACCCTTGCATTCCTCACCTGGCAATGCTGCTGTTAAGAAATTACTTTCTGACACTCTAGAAAGGAGAGCTGCGAGGCTCAGGTACTTACCGTGATGACAAAGTCCTCTGGGGAAGTGGGGATGTCAGCGGTTAGTGACAGGGATTTCAGCACGTACTCCTAGGTGACAGCAGTGAGCTGGATGTGGGCAGACAAGCACACCACGACAAAGCCCTGGCAGCCCCTGAATGCCAGGGTTGACTTCTGGCTGTGGGCACAAGACAAGTCTGGTGAAAGGAGGCAGCAGATGGAATAGGTCCAATCGTGGGGCCACTCTGCCTTAAGAGCACAACCCCCACAGAGGAGGGTGGGAATGGCACATAGAGAGCCAAGCTGGGGGATCTTTGTTCAGCGCTACCTGGAAGATGACTCTTGGGGACTGGAAATAGCATCAAAATGGTATGCCAAACCACTCCGTCCTGATGCCATAGGTCTCTGACGAGTGGCTACTGACAATGCTGGCCCCTGAAAGAGCAACAAGGAGAGAAGTGGGGAGAGGGCACCCAAAGGTCTGGGAGGAGACAGAGATGGCCTAAGGCAACCCTCAAGGTGAGGAGGTACTGCCAGGCATCAGCCCTCCTAACTGACCTGGCCAATAAGGGACATCTTAATTTGTCAATTCCTCCTCTCTCCTAAGGGCCATCCAGATTTTCCAATCCCTCTTGTCCTGAGCCCTCTGGCTTTCTGCAGGCCACCTACCTGAGGACTCCAGGGCATAATCCACCAGCCCAATGCGATCTTCACTGTATTCTTTCAGTGCCTGCTGTATTATCTGGTGTACTTCCTAAAAGACAAGCATGCACCACTCAGGGGACAGGCCACCTGCAGGGCTGGCCCAGTCATGCGGGGCCGGGCAACTGAGCTACCTGGTCTGCCAGGGTTTCCCCTCCTCCTGGCAGGCTCCTCTCAGGGCAAACCAGTGACCCCAGCCAGGAGAACAGCCAGTGGGGCAGGCCTCACCTCCTTCGTCATCCCGATAGTCACTCCCTTCTTCAGAAGGGTCAGCCTCAAGATGGAAGCAGCTTTGCTCACAGACTTGTCCTGCTCCTCTGTCACATAACTCAGGATTTTGTGCTCCAGGTCATGAAGCTGGGCCTGCACCTCCTCTAGCTTAATATGAAGGACCTGCTGAACCCAGCCAGGGACCTTAGACTCACCTAGATGCCACCAGAGAAAGAGCTCAGAAACACCTGAGCACAGCAGAAATGAGGAAGCAAGAGGGCCTGGACAGGGGCCTGGGTTATCTAGTGTCCCTTTGAGGTCTGGGGTCAGCACGTGCCAGCTTGGTGCCAGGAAAAGGATGGTGAACCAAGAGACTGTCATTTTTTCACTGCTTTGAAGTCTGCAAAAACTATCTCATTGAACCCTCTAGGGGCTGTTATTCTCCCAGGTAACAGATGAGGAATGTCCTGTCCATATCACAAAGTCCACCCAATAGACCTACATCTTTGGGAAGGGCCCATTGGACAGGTGAGAGGGGTACCTCCCTTGGTCGAGGAAGCCCAATTGAGATTGGGAGGTACATGTGGCCTAACTGGAGGACTGGAGGACTCATTCATTATGCAGGGCCACCATCTTCTCTGGCCAAAGGCATAATTCTTTCTCCACCTTACCCTGGCTCTGGCTCAAGGCCACCAGCTCCTGCCTCAGGACAACCAGCTGGGCCTCTAGGGAACCCATCTCCTTAGGCCTTTTTTCCTCAAAGGCTGCTTGGGAAGAACTAGCCAGTGACAAAAGGAAAGGTCAAGGTCAACCTGGAGAATAGGCACTGGAGGATGGAGTCAAACAGAGGCCAGGAAATGGAACAGTGTCTCCTGAAGAAAACATGACTCAATGGAAAGGACAGAGTCAGAGGCTGGTGAAGTCTTTGCTGACATCCACTCCCTGCGAGACCCTGGGCACACCATTTCCCTCCCAGGCCTCAGTACTTTCAACTGTTCTCTGAGGTCTGCTTCAGTTTGAATCGATACTATGGACACGCTCACCCAAGGCTTCTGGCTCCACTGACCACCCTCTCCCACGGAATGTCACTTGTGTTCACGCTGCTCTAGCTTTCCACCCCTCCTTCCCTCCTTTTCTCTTTGCCAGTCAGTTTGGGGCCTTACCTGTGCCACTCAGATGTCTTGTGCACCACCCCGCTTTCCAGCTCCTGTAAGGAAAAAGAGGACACAATGAGACCAAGGAAAACACCAACCTTTACCCAGAGAACCCTAGAGAGTCAACTAAAATAAATCATTAAAATAATTCTTTCAACCAAATTGCGGGCAAAAAAGAAACCCATGAAAACCATTAGCATTTTTCATACATCAACTAAGAAAATCCAGCAGAAAGAATAGAGAAATTCCATTGTAAACAACTGTAGTCAGTACACAATACTTGGAGTGTACCTGCCTAGACACACACAGGAAATCCAGGAATGCAATTACAAAACATCCTTCACACACAGAGACAATTCTCATCAATTAGAGACATATTCATTGCTCATGGGTACATCAAGCCAATAAAATGAAAGGGACAAAAGTACCTAAAATTAACTTACTTATTCAGTGTCATACCAATCTAACTACCAAGAAAGTCCTTGGGTAGCAAACAAAGTCAATACCCATCCGCAGGGGAATGGCTAAACCAACTGTGGCTTATGGATACAGTGAAATATTCTCATGGTATAAGAAACCACAACTGGGTTTTATATAGATACACAGGACAAGACTTACACGAACTACAGCAAAGTGAAAGAAATGAATGAAGACTACAAGATAAACAAGCACCACAGACAACCATGAGAATGGAATGAATAAGCAACATCCTGAACTAAATGTTGTGAAAAGATTATGTCCGAGCATGGCCCCAGAGATGATCAAGGAGGACATTCTTCCCTTCTCCTAATGCTGGGCTGAAGGTCTACTGACATGGAATCTGCACAGAAGGCAGGACTCTGGTGCTGAGTTGGTTGGTTTTCCTGAACTCTTTTCTTCCTGTCTTGTTTTATTCTTTTGTTTAAGGGATAGCTCTGTGAGGGGGAGATGGAGAGGCTATTCTGAGAAATGTGGGTGATAGGAAGCAAAATGAGAAATTACTCTAATAAAGTCACTAAAATATGTGTGTGTGTGTGTGTGTGTGTCTGTGTGTGTGTATGTATTAATGTATGTATAAAGTTTGGTATAAATTCAGGTTTTTTCTGTTATTGTTTGATCTTTTTATCTGCCTGCAAGCTCATCATTGCTCCAAAATTCAAATCACCTGGTGGATAAGCTGCTGCTGGGCAGCCAACATGATCTGCAAATGGCCTTCATGTCTTCCCAGCTTGGTAAAGTGTGTTAGTCTGGGCTGTGCTGGAGAATTGTTGGAAACTCCCGGGTTCCCAGGGTCACCCCACTGTGTGACAAGGTGCTAGGGAAGGCCTCTTGTGGGAGGCAACTGATTTCAATTGAAGTGGGGAAATGATGGGGCTGAGTCTTAGAGAGGCAGACACTGAATTGCCCAATGTCTGAAAGTCAGCAAGTGGCAAAGCTTGAACTTTGATCCTGTCTCCCACACTGGGTTGAGAAGAATGAAATAGATTGTGAGCGGGTTGTCTGCCCATCTTGTGCAAAGCCTTCCTGACACTCAGCTGGACACTCACCTGGAAATATGAGGGGGACTGTCCTGATTCCCAACGGTCCTCTCTCCTGCTGCTTCCCTTGGCTGCCCACCAGGACAGCATAGCAGGGTGGAAGGTCTGTAGTCCACCGGGGTAGAAATACCAACCACCTAGAAGATGGGAGGAAAGGCTAATTGAGGCAGAGGCTGAGGTGCCAGAAGGGAAAGAAGTCCAGGGTGAGGACTTCCATCCAGACTGAGTATGGCAGTGTCACATCTATGTGAGCTAGGATCCCAGCCCAAGGAAGGCAGATGGGCTAGGGGCCCATGATCTGGAAGGCTATGGCTAGAGCCACCTTCACCCAAAGAGTCTTCAGGAAAGGGTTCCCTCTCTCATGATCCTCTCAGAAGTCATGAAATACTTTTGGATGATAGCAAAAATAAGGGATAAGTTTCAGCTGGAGAGAGGACATGGAGACTGAACCCACAAGTGCTGCCTTGTGGTCCCAAGCCTGGTCAACACTTGGCCCTGTACCTTTTGAATGAGGACCAGAATGCTCTACAGAGAGGCTGACTGCAGACAGCCCCTGGTGACCATCTGCTTGTGGTGTCATCATTCCCTAGCTGGACTTGATGTCATAGCGGTCAAGTGATCCCTGAGTGATGTCATGGTTCCTGTCCAAGAGTGCAGCCCTTTTGGGATCATGCAGGGAGGAATGCCCTCTGTGTTCTCACCAATGAGGAAGGGCAAGGCCCTCCAGACCTGGCATTGGCTGTATGTCTAGCTCAGATAACAGATTCCTTCCTGACTCAGCTCCTCTACCAATCTCCCAGCCTCAGGTGCCAGGTCAGTGACCACTGAGGGTACAGATAAATCACCTCCCTGTCCCTGACATGCTCAAGGTAGGAGGGATGGCCACCCTGACCTTGAAGCATGCAGCTCTGAAGCCTGCATACGCAAGATGAACAATAAAGGTTTGTTGGATTGGATGGAGAGGAGAAGGACAGACAGCACAGAACTCTTACAATTGAGGCACGAGAGCTTGCTCATATGTGGCCCGGGTCCATTTTCCCAGTTCTTCGGTGCCTTTATCTCCTTAAAGGATCCTCTTCAAAGCTCTGTCTTCCAAACTTTCCTTTGGCAGCCCTGTCCCCAAGCTTTTGTCCTTCCCACCCTATTGGAGTGGCTACTCTGGGTACTCCTCAAAGCTCACCATAACCCTGAAAACCCACAAGCAACAACATCCCCAAGACAAAGAGGAGCAACTTCTTCCAAGTTCAAAAGCTGCTGGATTTTATCAAGGTGAAGGAGGAGATGTTAGCACCTGCCCTTCCCCACCCCAGGCTCCTGGGAGACCCTCCCTGAGTGGCAAATGAAACAACTAAAACGCTCTTCTCCCTCCCACCTCCACCCCTGCCACTGGGCACCCAAGAAGAGGAGAACTGGGCTTGTATGGACAGTCCTTGGGGTAAAGTGGAAGGAGAAAACTTGGCTTTTTGAAAGGCACTCATGTTGTTATGCCAGGTGACATACTGCCCTTTGACAGGTCCGGTGGAAGATGTCTCCCTGTCAGACCTCCATCACCACTAGGTTCATATGGTGCTCATGAATAGGCAGTCATCTTTGGTCTCAGTCCTTACAATGTTGTCAGTTTGGACTTGGAAGAGCTGCAGGAGGAAGCCGTGCTGAGGCAGGCTGGTCACCATCAGCCCAGCTTGTGGCCCCAAGAATCCAAGGCATGGCTGGGCCACCTGTGGGCCTTCAGGACACATGTGGTTCACTAGGTCCTCCAGCGTGGCTGGAGTTCTCAGAATCAATCCCCTTCAGCAAAGGATTGATGCTGTAAAACTTGCTCAGTCCAAAAGTCACACTGAAGGACCTAGAAGGCCACATGTGGCCTGGAGATCTCCGGTTCTCCACCCCTGCTCTAGAGGCTCCTGGAATAAGCCCTGGAGGCAGCCTGGAAACCTGGCCATGCTCCTCCACAGAGAAACTGTAAGCATGGCCTGGAGACCTGGAAGACTTGGCAGAAAATTCTGGATTGGAACCCCAAAAGAGGGAGTGTCCCTAGAAACTCAGGACCCTCAGACTAACAGAGGTGAGCTCACCAGATTCAGTTGTGATCAGAGTCAGGAACTACTGAGGGGAGAGCTCCTAAATGATACTCAGGAAGAGAGTCCCACTTGTAGTCAGAGCCAACCCACTTCCCTGAAAAGAAAAGAGGAATGTGGGCTTATGTGTGCTGCTAAATTTTGAACAACCAGCTCTGGAAGAGGGTAAGGCTCACACAACCTACTTCTCCCACCATCATCTTCAGTGGAGACACCCTATGAAGCCCTAATTGGTAGCTGACTCTCAGGAGCAAGTTCCAGCTGGTTCCAGCATACCCCTGGCCCTGACCTGAGTTTATCTTAATATTCGTTGCATAAAAGTCTCAAAAAGCTGAAAAGGAACAGGGCAAAGCCTAAGGGGATATTGACCTCGAGGGCAATGGTGTCTTTTGGAGCAGTGCATCTTACATTCTGACAGGCCCCAGGGAGGCCTCACTGACCTGATTAACAGAAAGAAGTCCTGGAGGGACGCAGCTGTGGACAGGCAGTTCCAGGTGTTTCCGAGGCACCACTGGAATGCTCCCAAGAGCCCACCTGTAAAGATCCCAGCAGAGGGATTCAAAGGCCTCACCCTGCAAGCCCATCCTTTCCCGGAGCTAGCCCCCTCCCAGCCGGCCAACTCTACAGCTGGTTCTTGCTACTCTGTTCTTCCATCCTCCCACAGCTCTTCAGCTGTGCTTGGGGATCCTTCCATAATAAGCCCATCTCCCCACACTGTCCTAGAGTTACTCCACCCTGGCCCAGTTTGCCCCTGCATAGGCATGAAGAAGCTCTTCTAAGTACACTGCAGCACCACTCCCCTGGGTACTGTGCCCAACCACTGGCAGAATCCACCTGAAAAGTTTATTGCCAACCAGCTAAAAATGCCAAGTTTGGAGGCACAATTATTGAAGGTGGATGCAGAGCCAGGCTGGTGGATTAGGGACCGACCTGCAGAAAAGGGAAAAAATGAGGATCCACCCAGAAGGTGAGACAACCATGTTTGGGATCTTGAGCCCCGCCTTTGGCCTCCAAACCAGAGACTGCAAAGTTCTCTCTTCCTGTTATATGAGAGATACCAGCTCCACCCCCAGCTTTGAGGCACCCTTTAAAGTAAATGCCGCAATGCCAGGGGAATGGGGCTCCAGGGCAGAAGAAGTGATGCCTACCTGCACCATCATCCTCGGAGAAGCACCCTGAGGACGACCCGGGGATGTTACAGGTCAAAAGGGCCAGGTGAGGGGCTGGTGAGAGGGCTAGTGAGATGCCTGTGACCCAACCAGACTTCCTCCTCACATTCCTAGGGGGCAGCAAGTATGAAGAGCAAAGACATGAGGGTGAAAAAGAAGAAGGGTGAGAAAGAAAGGGAAGGGGAAAGGCCTGGAGGGAATGAGACTGCTGGAGACTTCGAGGATGAAAAGAAATGATAGCCAAAGCCCTCTTTTGCAGTTCTTATTCCTTAAAGACATGAATGATTTTTCATGAGCGATGCAGGATCGAATAAAGCCCCAGCTACCATGGGCCACTAAGGTCTTCTTTCCAAATGAAACCACCACGATGAGGTATGAGAGGAGCTTAGAGTCAGTTGAAAATGTGTCCTAACCCACAGGCCCTTCACCCACCTGGCTTCACCCTAAGAAGCATGGGCCTTTGGGCCAGGGAGAAGAGTTTCTATGGCTTAGAGGGGTTCTTCCCTGCCCAGCTTCAGGCCTCAGAGTTTCCAGGCTTCTCCATGCTCAAAGTTGCCCCTCCCCAGTTCCTGTTCTCAGAAGGAGAAGGCAGCAGCAGCCAAAAGTTGGGGTCAAAGGGGGAAAGGAAATTCTCTTGTTTGTGGGGAAAGCAAGCAGTAGAGTAATGGCTCCACCCAAAATGGGGGCAGGAAAGAAATGTGTACATGGCAGCAGCCAAGGCCCTTGGCTGCCCTGGGCAGTTGTGATGGAGAAGGCAGCTTAGTCTCCTCTGGCTCCTTACCTGAGAGGACCCTCCCTGCAGTTGGTGTGCTGTCCAGCCACCTGGGAACTCCCTCTGCTGCTGCTGCTGCTGGGGCTGCTCCCCTCATTAACATGTGCCTGGCAACACAGGCACAGGTGCTCACTGGGCCAAGACATCCTCCAAGCCTTTGAGTTGAGTAATTCTAGAAATTCCAGAAAGAAAGAAAGAGAACCAGTGCTTACTGACTGAGTCATTTGACTTTATATTCTGGGAGACCCTCAGAAGGAACTGATGCTGGGCACCTTGAAAGGAAGGGACCACATTCCCTAGACTTCTTCCTCCAAAACAAAAGATGGGCTCGAAGCTTCTCTCCCTAAGTGTTTCTGAAGCATCTCCCAGGCACATTGATGACGGCTGCCTATCAGCCTCATGGCCTGCATTCAGCCCTTACTCAGCCTGGCCACTGCATCTACTCTTGATAGGATCCTGCAGTAGCCTTCCCTGCTGAAGCAGAGACTCCACTCTCTGCTAACTCCTTTCTGGATCTCCTCCTTAGAGCATCTTTATCCAATCTGAGCTGACACTGGCCTTATATTTGTTCTCAGGTTGCTTCACAAACACCACTTTCTCTTCTCCCCATAGATGGTAAGCTTGAGGGAAAGGACTACCTTCACTTCCAAAGTCTTTGTCTTCCCCCACCACCCAAAACCCTGTTCTGGTGGGTGGAAGGGGTCCCATGGACTGGGCCAAGCTAACCAGCTGATTCTAGCCCTGACCCTTAGGTAATTCGCTTCATGAGAAACAGTCCTAGCCCTCTGAAGACTTTTTTTTCTTTTCATTTCATAGTCACAGCTCTTAAGGAATATCATACTCATACTACGAATGAGTCCATGTTGACAAGTTGTCTCAGCCTCCAAGGCAGGCTCTGGGCTTTCCCATCTGCCTGCTCATGAGCTCCAACCTCAATGCCTCCTCAGGGATTTCTGAATTATCCAGCCCTGTGCAACTTCATGTTGGAGTGGGTTTTTTTGTTTGTTTGTTTTGTTTTTGGGGGGATAGGAAGATCCAATAGGTGGAAAACTAGGCTTGGCATTGGGGGACTCAATTCAGTCAGGGGCATCCCTGTACCTGGGGATTGGGGGGCGGAGTTAGGGAGTGGAGGAGAGTTAGATGTGCCTTGGTACAGGGGCTGTACAGACAAAAGAAGGGGCAGACACTGTGTCCCGGCACACATGAGTGAACCGTTGTCTTCACTCAGGGCTCCAGAC